TACATAGAAAAATTGACTAATTAGCACACGCCCCGTTCAATATTTGCGCGCCCCCTACACCGTGGGGGCTAAACAACAGTTTTCAGAATAACACGGCCAACTTCCAGCGATAAAAACAGAGGACAAAAAAAGACCTCCGACAACCATTCCCAAACCTGACCGGACAAGAACGGGAAGCGCCGTTTTTTATCCACCACGTGCGTCAGAGACCGTATTGGCGAGAACGTCAGAGAAACCCATAAACGCAACAGAACAGACTAAATGATGGCCTGCCGCGTTCCGACGGCCCAAGACGGCCCAAGAGGCCCCCAAGATCGCTTTAAGATCGCCCAAGAGGCCTTCAAGATGGCCCCGAAACGGCCCAAGAAGTCCCCAAGACGGTCCCAAGAGGGCCCTAACACGGCGCAAGAGGCCTCCAAGACGCCCAAGATGTCTTCCAAGACGGCCAAGATGGCCTCCAAGACGGCTAAGATGGCTCCAAGAGGGCCCCAAGACGGCCCAAGAGGCCTCGAAGACGGTCTGCCGTGCTCCTGTGGTCTGCCGTGCTCCTTTGGGGTCTGCCGTGCTCCTGTGGAGTTTGCCGTGCGAACGTGTGGTCTGCCGTGCTCCTGTGTGGTCTGGCGTGCTCCTGTATGGTCTGCCGTGCTCTTGTGTGGTTTGCCGTGCTCCTGTGTGGTCTGCCGTGCTCCCGTGGGGTCTGCCGTGTCCTGTGTGGTCTGCCGTGCTCCTGTGTGGTCTGCCGTGCTCCTTCTTGGTCTGCCGTGCTCATGTGCGGTCTGCCGTGCTCCTGTGCGGTCTGCCGTGCGAACGTGTGGACTGCCGTGCTCATTTGGGGTCTGCCTTGCTCCTTTGTGGTTTGCCGCGCTCCTGTGTGGTCTGCCGTGCTCCTGTGTGGTCAGCAGACCCAGGGCTGAGGGAAGGCTGGAGCAGTGCTCTGGTGGTCCATCACCCGCCCAGCTCCGTCCCCTCCCACTCTGGACCGATCTTGCGGGAAGCTGGCTTGTGGCAGCGCATCGCGCGTCCATAGCGTTCGTGTGCTTGCTTTTACCTCCTTTAATGTCTGCTCCACCTCTCCTTGAGACGCAGAAGCCTCCGAGCGCCGGGAGCAGAAATGATGCACTTTCGAAAAATCTGTTTGGATGAGTTTTGTTAGCGCGGCCTCGGAATTCAATTTTTCCGGCGACGGCCAGAGCCGACGCCAGCGCTGGATCCGGCTCGGCCGCCAGCCCAGGTGCCGGCCCGGGCGTTCGGTTCGAGCGCCGGCCTGGGTGCCGGAATCGGCCCGGAAGGGGTTCCAGGGCGCCGGGAGCAGAAAATCAATATTTTCGAAAGAAAAATATGTCTTGGAGTGGCCTTTTTTCCGCACCGCCTCGGAATTCAATTTTCCGGCGCCGGCCGGCGCCGGAACCGGCCCGGGCGCTGGCCCGGGTGCTGGCCCAGGCGTTCGGCTCGAGCGCCGGCCCGGGTGCCGGAAGCGGCCCGGAAGGGGTTCCCGGGCGCCGGGAGCAGAAAATCAATATTTTCGAAAGAAAAATATGTTTGGAGTGGCCTTTTTTCGGCACCGCCTCGGAATTCAATTTTCCGGCGCCGGCCGGCGCCGGAACCGGCCCGGGCGCTGGCCCGGGTGCTGGCCCGGGCGTTTGGCTCGAGCGCCGGCCCGGGTGCCAGAAGCGGCCCGGAAGGGTTCCCGGGCGCCGGGAGCAGAAAATCAATATTTTCGAAAGAAAAATGTGTCTTGGAGTGGCCTTTTTTCGGCACCGCCTCGGAATTCAATTTTCCGGCGCCGGCCGGCGCCGGAACCGGCCCGGGCGCTGGCCCGGGTGCCGGCCCGGGCGTTTGGCTCGAGCGCCGGCCCGGGTGCCGGAATCGGCCCGGAAGGGGTTCCAGGGCGCCGGGAGGAGAAAATCAATATTTTCGAAAGAAAAATATGTCTTGGAGTGGCCTTTTTTCGGCACCGCCTCGGAATTCAATTTTCCGGCGCCGGCCGTGCTCCTGCGCGGTCTGCCGTGCTCCTGTGGCGTCTGCCGTGCTCCTGTGTGGTCTGCCGTGCTCCTGTGGTCTGCCGTGCTCATTTGGGGTTTCCCGCGAGCTTGTGGGGTCTGCCGTGCTCCTGTGGGGGAAACGCCAGCGGCGTTCGGGGTACAACAAAAGGCGCGTTTATGTTGTACCTGCGCGCGGTCTGCCGTGCTCCTGTGGGGATTGCCGTGCTCCTGTGTGGTCTGCCGTGCTCCTGTGTGGTTTGCCGTGCTCCTGTGGTCTGCCGTGCTCCTTTGTGGTTTGCCGTGCTCCTGTGGGGTCTGCCGTGCTCCTGTGGGGTCTGCCGTGCTCCTGTGAGGTCTGCGGTGCTCTTGTGTGGTCTGCAGTGCTTCTGTGGTCTGCCGTGCTCATTTGGGATCTGCCGTGCTCGTGTGGTGTCTGCCGTGCTCCTGCGGGATCTGCTGTGCTCCTTGTGTCGTCTCTTTGGTCTGCCGTGCTCCTTTGTGGTCTGCCGTGCTCTTGTGGGGTCTGCCGTGCTCCTGTGTGGTCTGCCGTGCTCCTTTTTTTCCGCCTGCCGTGCTCCTGCTCATTTTCTGAGGACGTCCCTAGCGAAAACGTCATTTTTAACATAAGAGGTTGTAAAACACCTCTGTCGGCATCTCATTTTTTCGAGGATGTCTCGAGCGAAACGCTCATTTTCATGCATAACAAAAAATTTTTGATATTTTTCAACATCCCGATTTTTTGAGGATGTCTCGAGCGAAACCGTCATTTTTAACATAAGACGTCTTAAACGATAGCCTCCAACACCTCGATTTTTCGAGGATGTCTCGAGCGAAATGGCCATTTTGGGGAACCTGACCGGACAAGAACGGGAAGCGCCGTTTTTTATCCACCACGTGCGTCAGAGACCGTATTGGCGAGAACGTCAGAGAAACCCATAAACGCAACAGAACAGACTAAATGATGGCCTGCCGCGCTCCGACGGCCCAAGACGGCCCAAGAGGCCCCCAAGATCGCTTTAAGATCGCCCAAGAGGCCTTCAAGATGGCCCCGAAACGGCCCAAGAAGTCCCCAAGACGGTCCCAAGAGGGCCCTAACACGGCGCAAGAGGCCTCCAAGACGCCCAAGATGTCTTCCAAGACGGCCAAGATGGCCTCCAAGACGGCTAAGATGGCTCCAAGAGGGCCCCAAGACGGCCCAAGAGGCCTCGAAGACGGTCTGCCGTGCTCCTGTGGTCTGCCGTGCTCCTTTGGGGTCTGCCGTGCTCCTGTGGAGTTTGCCGTGCGAACGTGTGGTCTGCCGTGCTCCTGTGTGGTCTGGCGTGCTCCTGTATGGTCTGCCGTGCTCTTGTGTGGTTTGCCGTGCTCCTGTGTGGTCTGCCGTGCTCCCGTGGGGTCTGCCGTGTCCTGTGTGGTCTGCCGTGCTCCTGTGTGGTCTGCCGTGCTCCTGTGTGGTCTGCCGTGTTCCTTCTTGGTCTGCCGTGCTCATGTGCGGTCTGCCGTGCTCCTGTGCGGTCTGCCGTGCGAACGTGTGGACTGCCGTGCTCATTTGGGGTCTGCCTTGCTCCTTTGTGGTTTGCCGCGCTCCTGTGTGGTCTGCCGTGCTCCTGTGTGGTCAGCAGACCCAGGGCTGAGGGAAGGCTGGAGCAGTGCTCTGGTGGTCCATCACCCGCCCAGCTCCGTCCCCTCCCACTCTGGACCGATCTTGCGGGAAGCTGGCTTGTGGCAGCGCATCGCGCGTCCATAGCGTTCGTGTGCTTGCTTTTACCTCCTTTAATGTCTGCTCCACCTCTCCTTGAGACGCAGAAGCCTCCGAGCGCCGGGAGCAGAAATGATGCACTTTCGAAAAAATCTGTTTGGATGAGTTTTGTTAGCGCGGCCTCGGAATTCAATTTTTCCGGCGACGGCCAGAGCCGACGCCAGCGCTGGATCCGGCTCGGCCGCCAGCCCAGGTGCCGGCCCGGGCGTTCGGTTCGAGCGCCGGCCTGGGTGCCGGAATCGGCCCGGAAGGGGTTCCCGGGCGCCGGGAGCAGAAAATCAATATTTTCGAAAGAAAAATATGTCTTGGAGTGGCCTTTTTTCGGCACCGCCTCGGAATTCAATTTTCCGGCGCCGGCCGGCGCCGGAACCGGCCCGGGCGCTGGCCCGGGTGCTGGCCCGGGCGTTTGGCTCGAGCGCCGGCCCGGGTGCCAGAAGCGGCCCGGAAGGGGTTCCCGGGCGCCGGGAGCAGAAAATCAATATTTTCGAAAGAAAAATATGTCTTGGAGTGGCCTTTTTTCGGCACCGCCTCGGAATTCAATTTTCCGGCGCCGGCCGGCGCCGGAACCGGCCCGGGCGCTGGCCCGGGTGCTGGCCCGGGCGTTTGGCTCGAGCGCCGGCCCGGGTGCCAGAAGCGGCCCGGAAGGGGTTCCCGGGCGCCGGGAGCAGAAAATCAATATTTTCGAAAGAAAAATATGTCTTGGAGTGGCCTTTTTTCGGCACCGCCTCGGAATTCAATTTTCCGGCGCCGGCCGGCGCCGGAACCGGCCCAGGCTGCCGTGCTCCTGTGTGGTCAGCCGTGCTCCTGAGGCGTCTACGGTGCTCTTTTGGGGTCTGCCGTACTCATTTGGGGTCTGCCGTGCTCCTGTGGTCGGCCGTGCTCATTTGGGGTCTGCCGCGCGCCTGTGAGATCTGCCGTGCTCCTGTTGGGGAAACGCCAGCGGCGTTCGGGGTACAACAAAAAGGCGCGTTTATGTTGTACCCGCGCGCGGTCTGCCATGCTCCTGTGGGTTCCGCCGTGCTCCTGTGGCGTCTGCCGTGCTCCTGTGGCGTCTGCCGGGCTCCTGTGTGGTCTGCCGTGCTCCTTTGTGGTCTGCCGTGCTCCTGTGGAGTCTGCCGTGCTCCTGTGTGGTCTGCCGTGCTCTTGTGGTCTGCCGTGCTCATTTGGGATTTGCCGTGCTCATGTGGGGTCTGCCGTACTCCTGTGCGAGCTGTGAGCTGCGGGGCCTGTGAAGGCTAAAAGGAGCCCGAGGCCCGCGGAGCCCGTTGGCCCCAGGGCCTCAAGGGCCAAACCTGGGGGCCCCTAAGGAGCCACCGCAGGGGAGGGCGCGAAGCGCCAGACGCGCGAGGCGCACGATTTCAAAGAAATCAAGAAGGCAGCAGGGGCCGAGGCGCGCAAGCACGCCCAACAAGCCCTCCTCGCTGCAAAAGAGGCGCGGGGCAGAAGTTGCTGCCTCACGCACTCACAGTAAGAAGAAGACGAGGGGGGCGGACACAACAGGAAGAAGAAGATGATGCTGCATCACTCCCCCTCGTCATCATCAGCACGGCGGCGCCTCTTGCGCCTGTCATCGCGCGCCGTCTCAGCCGCGGCTGACCACTCGAGGAGGCTCGCCTCGTCAAGTCCGTAGGCGCTCAGCCATGCCTCCCTCGAGGCCCCCGCGGGGCCAGGCGCCAACGGCTCTGCCGCCTCCTCGCCAGCGGCCGCCGCGCCGCTGGGGGGCCCGCTGCTGGCGCCGGCGGCCTCGCCGCCAGGGGCATCCTCGGGGCGGACCCCCAGCCACTGCAGGAAGCGCACCCTGGCGTCCATCGGCGCCACGTCCTCCTTGCGCAGGCTGGGCACTGTCGCGCCGACCCGCTTGCTGCCGCTGCGGGGCGTGCCAGCAGGATGCCGCCCCTGCAGCCAGCGCGCCTTCTGGTCTCGCCTGCCCTTGGGAAGCCCAGAAGACCCTGGGCAATGCTCCTTGAGCTTGGGCGCCGCGCCTGAGCGTCCGCCCAGCCGCGCGTACGCCCCGCAGTGGGTGCACGCCATCAGCTCCTGCTCGGCGGCGCCCTCCCCGCACCTGGCGAAGGCCAGGACGTGGCCAGCGACGACGAAGGCCGTCGCACCGAGGGATACGCCACCAGCGCGCGCCGCCGACGCCCACCCGTCGCCCGAACCCGAGTCGGACGGGCGGCTGCTGGCGGGCTCCACCACGGGCACATCGAAGGAGACAGCCATCCGCTCGCTGCCCTCGGGTAGGCCCTCGCAGTCCTTGACCTCGATCCCCTGCTCCTTTGGGGTCTGCCTTGCTACTGTGGGGTCTGCCGTGCTCCTGTGTGGTCTGCCGTGCTCCTGTGGTTTGCCTTGCTCCTGTGTGGTCTGCCGTGCTCCTTTTGGGTCTGCTCTGCCGTGCTCCTGTGGGGTCTGCCGCGCTCCTGTGGGGTCTGCCGTGCTCTTGTGGGGTCTGCCGTGCTCTTGTGTGGTCTGCCGTGCTCCTTTGTGGTCTGCCGTGCTCCTGTGTGGTCTGCCGTGCTCCTGCGTGGCCTGCCGTGCTCTTGTGCGTCGTGTCGTGCGGGGCCTATGAAGGCTAAAGAAGCCCGAGGCCCACGGAGCCCATTGGCCCCAGGGCCTCAAGGGCCAGCCCCGGGGGCCCGAAAGGGGCCTCCGCAGGGGGGCGCGGAGCGCCAGACGCCCGCCAGGGCCAACGGGGGCGCCTAGGCCCCAGGGCCACGAGGGCGGGCAGTGCCGAGAGGCATCAGAAGCAGCGAAGCTGCACAGAAGAGCTCACGTACACATTCAAATACAAGAAATGCGAATGCACGGAGCAAACGGAATTAGCGTCCGCACGCAAGGCAAGCAGCAGAAACGGAAAGCAACTGCTTGCCTCAATAATCGAGGGGGCCCCTTACGCCCCTCGGCATCTGGACGACCTGCAGGCGGCCTTCGAGGATACGCTCACGCTCCTCGGCATCTGGCCAGCCTGCAGTGCTGGGGCTGACGCCGAGAAAGCGGGCCTCGGCCGAGCTCAGGAGTGCCTCAACTCCCGTCTTGGGCCCAATGGCCACGCACAGCACCGCCGCCACCGAGAAATCGTCCAGGAAGTAAAACAAGCTCTCGCTGAACGCTAGGCGGGAGGCCTTCTGCGCCTCCTTCTGCTCGCCCCGAGCCTCCCGCGCGTTCATCGGCTTCGAGAGCACCTCCCGCTCGCCCTTGGGCTCGGTGCCCTCCTCCAGCGCGCCCAGCCGCTCGGACCGCGCCGCCAGGTCGCCCTTCTGCAAGACCAGCTGCTCGGAGGTCGCCTCCTGCGCGCACGGCCGCTGCGAGAGCACTTCCAGCTCGCCCCTGGCCTCGGCGCCCTCCTCGAGCGCGCCCTGCCGAACGGACAGCGCCGCCAGGTCGTCCTGCAGCTCGACCGTGGGCTCGGCGCCCTCCTCCAGCGCGCCCAGCCGCCCCGAGGGCGCCTCCAGCTCGACCGTGGGCTCGGCGCCCTCCGCGAGCGCGCCCTGCCGCTCGGACAACGCCGCCACGTCTCCCTTCGGCGAGACAAGCTGCTCCGAAAGCGCCTTCATCACGGCCTCGGCCTCGGTAGAATCCCCCAGCGCGCAACGCCGCTGCGAGAGCTCCTGCATCTCGCCCCTAGGCTCCGCGCACTCCTCGAACGCGCCCTGCCGCTCGGACCCCGTCGCCGCGTCGCCCGCCAGCGAGCCAAGCTGCTCCGAGAGCGCCTCCAGTACGGCCTTGGGCTCGGCGGTGTCCTCCAGCGCGCACAGCCGCTGCGGGAGCGCTTCCAGCTCGACCGTGAGCTCAGCGCCCTCCTCGAGCGCGCCCTTCCGCTCGGACAGCTTCGCCAGGTCGCCCTGCAGCAAGCCGAGCTGCTCCGAGAGCGCGGAGCTAAGCGGCGTGCGCCTCGCGTCGGCCGCCTCTGGCAGCTCACGTCGCGGCGGGGCCGGAGGGGAGGGCCGCGCGGGCACCTCGCACTCGCAGATCTCGACCTCGCACACGACGGCGGCCGCCGCCCCCCGGCCGAGCACGCCTCCAAGGCGCGGACCCGCCGCCGCCCAGGCCAAGCCAGCCCGCGGTGCCGCCGCAAACCCCGCTGCAGGCGCACGAGCCGCGTGCAAGGCCGTGTTCCGGCGGAATCTCACGGCCCCTGGCACGGGCCGGCCGCCAGAGGCCAGGATCAGGGCGGGCCGAGCGGCAGCCTCCCTGTCCTGCCACGAGCCAGGCTCGGCAGCAGGCACGCCACCCGTGAGGCCCGCGATGACCTCCCTGAGGCGCGCGACCTCCTTCTCCAGCTCGCCGGCGCGCGCGCGGGCGTGCCGCACGGCCGCATCGGCCGCGGCACGGGCTCGCCGCGCAGCCTCGCTGCGCTCGCCGCGCGAGCGGGGGAACCGCGGAGGGTCCCCTCCCGTCGCCATCGCTCCCAAGCACACGCTGCGCGCGCGCGCCCGAGCAGGCTTGAGCCAAAATGGCTACGGCCTGCCGTGCCGTGCCTGCCAAAATGGCTTGTGTGGTCTGCCGTGCTCCTGTTGGTCTGCCGTGCTCTTCTGTGGTCTGCCGTGCTCCTATGGGGTCTGCCGTTGTTCGGCCGTCTTGAGGGCACTCTTAGGGCATAGTCTGCCGTGCTCCTCGTCTTGGTCTGCCGTGCTCCTCGTCTTGGTCATCCTTTCCGTCGTCTTGAGGGCGCTCTTGGTGCCTGGTCTGCCGTGCTCCTCGTCTTGGTCTGCCGTGCTCCTCTCGGTTCCTAAGCCTGGTCTGCCGTGCTCCTCGTCTTGGTCTGCCGTGCTCCTCTCGGTTCCTACGCGCGGTCTGCCGTGCTCCTGTGGGGAGCACGGCAGACCACAGGTGCCGTGCTCCTATGGGGTCTGCCGTTGTTCGGCCGTCTTGAGGGCACTCTTAGGGCATAGTCTGCTGTGCTCCTCGTCTTGGTCTGCCGTGCTCCTCGTCTTGGTCATCCTTTCCGTCGTCTTGAGGGCGCTCTTGGTGCCTGGTCTGCCGTGCTCCTCGTCTTGGTCTGCCGTGCTCCTCTCGGTTCCTAAGCCTGGTCTGCCGTGCTACTCGTCTTGGTCTGCCGTGCTCCTCTCGGTTCCTACGCGCGGTCTGCCGTGCTCCTGTGGGGAGCACGGCAGACCACAGGAGCAAGGCAGACCACACAGGAGCACGGCAGACCACACCTCGATTTTTTGAGGATGTCTCGAGCGAAATGGCCGTGGTCTGCCGTGGGAGCACGGCAGACCACAGGAGCACGGCAGACCACACAGGAGCACGGCAGACCACACCTCGATTTTTTGAGGATGTCTCGAGCGAAATTGCCATGGTCTGCCGTGCTCCACACAGGAGCACGGCAGACCACCTGCTCATTTTCTGAGGACGTCCCGAGCGAAAACGTCATTTTTAACATAAGAGGTTGTAAAACACCTCTGTCGGCATCTCATTTTTTCGAGGATGTCTCGAGCGAAACGCTCATTTTTCATGCACAGCAAAAATTTTTGACATTTTTCAACACCCCGACTTTCTGAGGATGTCTCGAGCGAAACGGCCATTTTTAACATAAGACGTCTTAAACGATAGCCTCCAACACCTCAATTTTTCGAGGATGTCTCGAGCGAAATGGCCATTTTGGGGAATCCGCCAATGAAAACCCCCGTGCAATCGCGCAACCCATAGATATAAAGATATATATATATATATATACTCAAGGATTCAGCCAGAACGTCCCGCTTGCTTCTCGTACCTCGAAGACGCTTCCCGTCATCCGCCAACGAAAACCCCCGTGCGATAGCGCAACCCATAGATATAAAGAGAGAGAGAGAGAGATATATATATATATATATACTCAAGGATTCAGCCAGAACGTCCCGCTTGCTTCTCGTACCTCGAAGACGCTTCCCGTCATCCGCCAACGAAAAATCCCGTGCAGCGCGGCAACCCATATAGTTAAAGATATATATATATATATAGATTTACTCAAGGATTCAGCCAGAACGTCCAGCTTGCTTCTCGTACCTCGAAGACGCTTCCCGTCATCCGCCAGCGAGTTTCCCGGAGCGGCGCGCACCCCTTAGTTAGAGAAAATTGAGCCCCAGAACCAACGGTGCACGCTGGAGGCGCTTCCCGTCATCCGCCAGCGAGTTGCGGGATGCAATCGGTACCCCTTAGTTAAAGAAAATGAAGCCCCAGAACCAACGGTGCACGCCGGAGGCGCTTCCCGTCATCCGCCAGCGAGGTGCGGAATGCGATCGGTACCCTTTAGTTAGAGAAAATTAAGCCCCTGAACCAACGGTGCACGCCGGAGGCGCTTCCCGTCATCCGCCAACGCCCGTCCAAGATGCAATCCGGAGCCCTATATAAAGATTTTTTCTCGGTGGCCCTTAGTTACAGAAAATGAAGCCCCAGAACCAACGGTGCACGCCGGAGGCGCTTCCCGTCATCCGCCAGCGAGTTACCCGGTGCAATCCGTGCCCCACAATATTTTACCACCAATAAACGGTCCACGCCGAAGGCGCTTCCCGTCATTCGCCAACCGGCGACGATAAGGCTGGCGAAAATCGGCAACATGTAGGGCATCAGACAGAATTACATCGCGCCAGAAAATCCGCCCACCCCTGGGGGATCATCGGCGTGTGAGATGCTCCCCCCTCCCCAAACCCCTCCCCCCGGAGCCCGGTCCGGTCGATTTGGAACGGGGGGGGGAGCGTCCCGGAGCTCACCCCCGGGGGGTCTGGCCCTTCCCGGGCTCTTTTGGAGGTCCACGACAGCCTCTGGGGCCGCTCAAGAGGAGGCCCCCAAGACGGTCCAAGAGGGCCCCGACGCCCAGGATGGCCCCAAGACGGCCCCAGAAGCCCCCCAGACGGCCCAGGAAACCTCCAAGAGCATCCCCAAAAAGGGCCCAAGAGGCCAAAATCGTCGAATTCCGATGGGGAAACCTACGTTTGTATCATGCACGTTTTTTCGGCCTTCACGGCGTTGAAGACGGCCCCAGGCCCCCAAAACTGCTCCAAAACTGCCCCAAAACGGCCCGACAGGTTCCCAAGAGGCGCTCGAAACGGCCCAAGAGGGCGCCAAGACGGCCCAAGAGGCTCCCAAGCAGCCCCAGAGTGCCCCAAGACGGTCCAATGAGGAGCCCAAGAGGAGGAGCCTGAATCAACAATCCGAGCCTTCCGCCCCAAAACGGCCCCAGGGGAGCCCAAGAGGCGCTCAACAGGGCCCATGGGGCCCCCAAGAAGCCCCCCAAGAGGCCCCAAGAGGCCGCCAAGAAGCTCAAAAGAAGCCCTAAGTACCACTTCAGGCATGTAACTTCTAACCCGCAGCCCAGGCACCAAGGATCTCAGGCCGACAACCAAGGCACGGTGGCGGGATGGGCCGAAGGCCACTATCCGCCGCCCCCTGCTTGCAGGGGTGCACGGCGTGCTGGATGAGCTGTCAGGTTTTGGTTTTGGTTCTTTTTCCAAAAGAACTCCCCAGTGGGCTCCGGCCCGTCCCGCCACCGTGCCCAAAAACGGCCGTTTCGCTCGGGACATCCTCAAACAATCGCGAAGCGAGAAGATGGACCCAAGAGGGCCTCCAAACCAAGTGCGCCGCGCGAGATGGTCCAAGACGAGCCTCCAAGACGGCCCAAGAGAGTCCAAGAAGCCCAAGACGGCCCAAAAGGCCCCCCAGAGGGCCTCCCAGACGGCCCAAAGAGGCCCTCCAAGAGGTCCCAGGAGAGTCCGAAGAGGGCCAAATCAATGATTGCCATGGTTTTTGAGGATTTTGGCATGGCGCATTCTTCGACTCTCCGACGGCTCAAGACGGCCCAAGAAGCCCCCAAGATCGCCCAAGAGGCCCCAAGGAGAGCCCCTGCTGGCCCAACAAGTGGCCTCCAAGATGGGCCCCTAGAAGGCCCCAAGGAACGGCCCAAGAGGCCTCCAACACGCCCCAAGATGGCCTCCAAGACGCCCCAGTGGCCTCCAGGACTGCCCTGGAGCGCCCAAGAAGGTCCCCCGTTGGCCCCAGAAAGGCCCCCAAAACGGCTCCTGACGGCGTCAGACGTGCCAGGAACCCACCAAGATGGCCGAAGTTCGCTCGAAGGTGGCCCAAAAGGGCCCACGAGGCCCCCAAGAGGGCCTCCAGGAAGGCCAAAAGATGCCAAAATCACTTATTTTCCCAAGGTTTTTGATGGATTTGGGCATTTCCTTTCTTTCGGCCTTCCGACGGCCCAGAGACGCCCAAGAGCCCCCCAAAGATGCCGAAAGATCGCCCCCAAGAGGCCCCAAGCCTGCGCGACGATGACCAACAAGACGCCCAAGTGTCCCCCACCCGAAGGCTTTTCCAAACCGAGCGGGGGGAACACATGGGTTCGATGGCTTCGGCAGGTCTGCGCTCAACGTTCGGCCACATAGGCGCTCCACAAAGGCAGGGGGCGGGCGGTGATGCGCCGTAGGCGTCTTCGATCCGCGCCCTGCTTGCAGGGGTGCACGGCGTGCTGGATGTTTCAGGTTTTGGTTTTGGTTCTTTTTCTAAAAGAACTCCCCAGTGGGCTTCGGCCCGTCCCGCCGGCCACCCGTAATTTTCCCAAAATCCGTCTGTCAATGCCTTTGTTGCCCCAACTTGGACCAAGATGGCCTCCAAGACGGCCAAGATGGCCCAAGATGGCCTCCAAGATGCCTCCCAGACGGCCAAGATGGCCTCCAAGACGGGTAAGATGGCTCCAAGATGCCTCCAAGACGGCCCAAGATGCCCTCCAAGACGGCCAAGATGGCCCCAAGATGCCTCCAAGATAGCCCAAGAGGCCTCCAAGACGTTCTCCAGGAGAGCCCGAAGAGGCCAAACTCATTGGTTTTCCTTAGGTTTTTCAAGGTTTTTTGCGTTTTCTTCTTTTCGGCCTTCCGACGGCCCAAGAGGCCCCCAAGATCGCCCAAGAGGCCTCCAAGAAGGCCCTATGACGGCCCAAGGGCCCCCCAAGACGGCCCCAAGAGCGCCCCAAGACGGCCCAAGAGGCCTCCAAGACGCCCAACATGGCCTCCAAGACGGCCCTGAAGCGCCCCAAGAGGGCCCCAAGACGGCCAGAGAGGCCCCCAAGACGGCTCCAGACGGC